CTTGCAAAGCAGGTGGCGAAACCACTGAGCTAAATCCCCAGCCCAATGACTACATTTAAAAAAAATTATCAACTATTCAGTTAGCATTCAAGTTTCCCTAAGTGTCTGTTTTCATTTGACTTTGATTACATTTGTATATGAGTTGGGTTCCATGTGTGTATGCTGCTTTGCTTTGATTGATTCCTTTTTTTGTCTTAAAAAAATCTACTGGGGTTGGAGGTATAGCAAGCTGGCAGAGCACACAATGTTTGAGGCCCAAGGATAGAACCCAGCACCAAGAAAAACAGTAGTCTTTGATAGCTTGCTTTTCTTTTTTATTATTTGGAAATGCCAAGAGAGCCAGGCATGTCAGTGCATACATGGATCCTAGCACTGGGGAAGTTGAGGCAAGAAGACTATGAGTTTGAGACCAGTCCCAGCTACAATAGAATTCGAGGCCAATCTGGGCTCCATAGTGAATTCAAGGCCAGCTTGGACTACACAGAGAGACCTCCTCTCAAAACAAAACAAAACAAAACAAAACAAGAAAAAGCCTTGGGGTAGACCCCTAGCACTGCAAAACAAAACCAAAAACAAAAATCCCACAAGCCTCCAAAGCAATCTAATAAAAACTGCTCATCTTTTAAAAAAGACAAAGAGTTAAGAGAAATATAAGAACATATTTTTCTTTACAACATCAGGTAAGATTAGGTCTTTTAAGTAAGACACAAAAAATAGGAGTCATAAAGAAAAAACTGAAAATATTGACTACCCTAGAACCTAAAAACTTTTCTATGGCAAATTAAAGGTCAAGAAGAAAATACTTAAACCATAAATAAAACCAAAGGATTTTAAATAATACATAAGGCAACTGAAAATCAATAAGGAAAAAACTAGTAAGTGGGCGCATAGTATAAATAGATAATCCCCAGAAGAAAAGCAAGTGGCTGATAAATCCCTCGCTGTTGGGATCAGTGGATGGTTTTGGTTGGAGGACCCACTTACACTGCTCACAAATGCCATCTACTGCCCTCCCACTGTCGGATCTGGATTATCAATATTTCCTCATCTCTTTTTTTTTTTTTTTTTGGTACCAGGGTTCAAACTCGGGACCTTGCGGTTTCGAGGCAGGCGGCGGCACCACTGAGCTAAATCCCGGGCCCTCAATTTCTTAAAACAAATTTATAAACCAGGTGTGGTGGGGCATGCCTGTAATCCCAGCACTCAGGGGAGACTGAGGCAGGAGGATTGCAAGTTCAAAGTCAACCTGGGCAGTTTAGAGAGATCCTTTCTCAGAATAAAATAAAAAGGGCTGAGGCTAGAGCTAGTGGTAGAGCGTTTGGCTAACATGAACAAAGACCTTGATTCAATCCCCAGCACCATAAAATAAATGAAAGCATAGAAAAAATTACAAGTGAATACTCATATTTCAAGCTGACAGTCTCACCACTTCATTAGAAAAGATTTTGCTGAGAGAGAACTAAATGAAACTTACTGTGTGTTTTTTTCATGGTCTCACAATCCAGTACAGCTTTTTGAACTGAAAGAGAGAGAGAGAGAGAAAAGAAACATGAGAAAGCTCTTTTTCCACATTTTTTTTTTGGTACCGGGGATTGAACTCAGGACCTTGCTCTTGTGAGGCAGGCATGGTGCCACTGAGCTAAATCCCCAGCCCCTTTTTCCATATTTTGGTTTGGAGGTTCAAGTCTCAAAATGGTCCGTGGTCCTACATGTGATAGAAGAAAAGACGCCCCAGAAGAGCAGTTTATTCAGAGGGTTCCACATTCCCCAGAGCGAGGAGGTCAGCGATTATCACAGTACCAGCACTGACAGTGACGAGTTGCTTTGAAAACTTCTTCTTTTTCTTAACCAAATGAAGGAAATGACAGAATCTGGGCCAGTTTACACACTCTGACTAGCTGGTGTGACCAAAGTGTGTGTTCCTCCATAAATTCCTGTAAGAAAGATGTGGCAAGATGTGGTAAGATGGCCGAACTCAGACTTGTTGGGGAGTCAGATAGTGGGAAAGAGAAAGAAAATGAGAAATCTGTTATAGTGCCTTTGTGCGAGCCTGCCTGATTATCTCTGCTCAGCCTAGGACCTGGTGAATAACTGTGATCTTCTAACCATAAATTAGACGTACCTCCCCAGCCCTTTTTTTTTTATATATTTTTTAGAGATAGAATCTCACTAAATCATTTAGTTGCCTAGTGTGGGCTCAAACTTTCAAATCCTCCTGCCTCAGCCTCTCAGAGACCTGGAATTATAGGTGTGGGCCACCACTCCCAATGGCTATTTTTGTGTCTTCAGCAGTTCTGTAGGGTTTCATGAATGTTTGGATGAGTTTGCTTTCAGATACACGTGTAAAATTCCTCTTTTCTTGGGTCTGCATATTCTTCATCAGCATCCTGTCAGCTTCCTGCTCCCACTGCTGGCCAGTTGGGAACAATTCTGTATAGACCCGTGGACATGGCTTCTCTCTCAGATATGTACAAATTGGAGACAGGATTGGGAAATGAAAAGAATATTGGTGGCTTCTCTTTTCCACCCTGAGTGATGGTTGAAGTTTCTTGGTTGGCTTCGTGGGGACAGGTGTGAGCATTCAGAAGATCTAAGCTGCAGAGGTAGATAGCGAAAATGATGCTATCTTGGGAAATGATGGACTTGGATCAAATAAACTTTCGTATCAAACCACTTTAGCAAATCAAAAATGGGACTGTTAGAAGTGAATCTTAATGAAGAGAGAATGGGTGTGGGCTGTGAAGAAGGCATTTTCAGGTCAGGGACAAATGCTGCCATGTCAATAGAAAATTGAGTCCTGCTTATTCGTGCTAGCCATTTCAATAAGAGCAAGTTTTATAAAAATAGTTCATGGCCAGGGATAGTGGTGCACACCTGTAATCCTAGCACTCAGGAGGCTGAGACAGGAGGATCAAGTTCGAGGCCAGGCTGGGCTACACAGGGAGTTCATGGCCAACCTGAACTACATAGTGAGACTGTTTCAAAAAGCCAAAACCAACCAAACAACAACAAAACCACCTTTATTTGGAGACAGGGTCTTGCTAAATTGCTAAATAGCCCAAGTTGTACTTGAACTTTTGATCTTCCTGCCTCAGCCTCCTGGAGTACAGAGATTACAGGAGTGAGCCACGATGTCTTTTTTTATCTTTATAAATTGATTATCCCTAGTGACAGAGAGCTAACTAAAACATACCTCCTACTTGTCCCCTCCTCATGGTCACTGAGGGAAATGGGGGCCCATTCTCAATGGGGAATTCCCTTCAGCACACTTCAAAACTGAAAAAAATGTGAAGTGGTTTCCACCATGCCCAGCTGACATTGAGTTCTTGCATTGGGATGTAGAGCTGTGTTATGTAGACCTGGAATTTTCCATCTACATCCACCCATGGGAGAAGCAGTCACCCAGGACATCCCAGCAGTTCTGCTTGCAATCACCAAAAACTGATGACACCTAACTGCTCATCTCCGGGAAACTGGCTGCTTACATGGTAAGAGTTCCTTAGGATTGGAATAGTTGTCACATTTGTTCTTTTTTAAAAACAACTTTATGAGATATAGTTCACATAACATTCATCCATTTAAAGCATGGAATTCAGTGCCCTCTGGTACATTCACAAAGCAGTGGAAACATAAGCAATTGTTTTAGAACATTTTCATTAGCCCAAAAGAAAATCCCATACGAGACGAGATATTTTGGAGACCTTAAAAAAATGATAATTTTCTATGTTTTTTTTTTGAAGGGCGGTAACTGGGGATTGAACTAGGGACCTTGTGCTTGCAAGGCAGGCGCCAGAACCACTGAGCTAAATCCCCAGCCCTGGTGTATCTCTATTAGAAATAAGAACTGAAGTGGGACACACTGATGCACACCCATAATCCTAGCACTCTAAGAAGCTGAGGCAGGAGAATCATAAGTTTGAGCCCAGCCTGGGTGACATAGCAAGACCCTGTCTCAATACAGAGTTTTTGAAGGGGTTGGAAATGAAGCCCAGTGTGAAAGGCCTAGGTTCAATCCTCAGTACTTCCTAGAAAAGGGCAAGCAGAGGGAAGGAGACAAAGACAGAGAAGTACAGACAGACAAATAATAAGCAATGAGGGTCCAGTGGTTGTTTAGGAGAAATTGCCACTGATAAACCCGAATGAAAAATTGACATGATTTTCCCTGCAACTCTATAATCTTCCATTAGATGGTGCCATTGTCAAATTCTTGTAATTTCAAGTGGGTTGAAGGGACCACTGCCCAGTAATTCTGCCTGTAATATGTTTTGATTTCTGCTTGTTTTTCTTCTGTGTCATTTGAAGTTAAAAAAAAAAAAGTTAAAGCTCCCTTCATAAATACTCTATAATCCAGGTCAAAGGAGTAAACTGAACAAGGGATATAGAATTTAGTTCATAATGAAAAAATACATTGGGAATGTTATTACTTTCTTTTACGTCTATAAAAATCCATTGCTGATATCCTGATCATCTCAGGTGAAAAATGCCACCAACTCCTTCAGAATTGTTCATAAATCTGAGTGGGTTGAAATTCTACCTTTTCACCATCAATAACTTCTCTGTTTTCTTATTTTATACACCCCACCATTGGGAAGATTTTACCCTAAGTGGCATTTCCTAAACAGTTAATGGTTACCCTGCTCTGTACTCACATGCATATTTGATTTGTGTCTCAGTGGCAGAACATGTGCTTAGTGTGTGTGAGACCCAGAGGTCAATGCCAAGCACTGCAAAGTTGATTAAAGTTCCCAGTAGACAAGACAACCTTGTTAGACCGATTTTACACCAAGTCTTAACTACACGTGGAAGAATTTGAGCAGAGTGGTAAGAGCAAAGGCCCTGGAGTTAAACCCCAGCTTTCCTTCAACCAACCATGGTGCTGTGGACTTGTCATAGCTGTGTCATCCTCCTAGGACTCAGCAAGGTGCATGCTAAGCATTCATACTACAGTAAATGCCAGCTTCTACCACTGGCATCTTACTCAGTGTGTGCTGTCTCACCCACCCGAAGCCACCTGGAATCTCTTTCACTGACCTGCCTGTCACTAACCTGACAATTTCCAAGCTGGGTACAGGAAGTCTGGGTTCACTTTGGCTCACAATGGGCCTGCTCAAGAGTGCTTCTCTTCCCTGCTTGAAATGCCCACAATGCCACGTGCAGAAATTAATGAACTAAGAATCAGGATTCTTGGGTTTATAAACAGTCGCTGAAGCATTCATTGTTTGGAGCAGGATTCTGCTCTTTTGCTTTGTTGCTGTAGTGGTACTGAGGATTGAACCCTTTGCACTGAGCTACATCCTCAGCCCTTTTTTATTTTGAGACCAGATCTCACTGTGTCTCAGGCTGGGATTGAATTTACGATCCTCACGAGTTAGCTTCCCAGACTGCTAGGATTACAGGTGTTCCATGGCCAGGTTGTCTGGAACAGTTTTTATGATTGTACTTACAGTGTAAGCACATTCCACGCAATGTCTGGGTCCAGATCTAGAACATACTTATATTAAAATTACCATTTCTTGCTCACCTGAAGTTCAAATTTAACTGAAGGTCTTGGATTTTTATTTACTAAATCTGGGGACCCTTTGTTTGTGAATATGTACAGCTGTGCAGCTATCACCACTCACACCATTCCAGACGCTTCCCTTGCACACTGGCAAGGGATCCCTGATCCCTCCTGAGTTTCAGGCAAAACTGGCCTGCATTGTGTCTCTATAGATTTAGGGAAGGCTGTATTTTTAAGTGGAGAGAATTGTCTGTTACATAATTTAGTTAAGACCTAACTATTTGCATGAAGAGTTTGGTTTCATTTTTTCAAGCAAAACCACAGAGGAACCGGCTGTCCAACACGGCATTTGTCTGTTGTAATCAGAGCGGCCTCCCCGTAGCAGGTATGTGGATTATTTGAATCTCTTGGTGTTTATCGACTGCAAGGGTCACCTGGTTGTGGTCAGGCTGAGAGCCTCGTGGCCTGGTCCTGCAAGTGGGGGCTGTCCCAGGCCCAGCCCAGGCGGCAGGAAGGGAGGGGATGTCAGGCACTTGAAGGTGACATTCAAGCTCCACTGGCAAAATCCTGGTCCCTGGCTGCCTGGGCCCATCCCAGTGTGACTTAACTAGAGGAAATCTTGCAGGTTGAGTCCCTTGGTGCTGCGCCTCACAGCTGCAAAATGCCCACCCATGGATTCAGATTTACACCTTGCACAACACCCACTAAGGCTGAAGCAGTTCAATCTAGGAACACTGGTAAAAGATGGCTCCTGCTTGAAGAACCCAGCCAGTGCCGCTTTTCTAAGTGCTTTGTACATATGTCTACCCCTACCAGGTGTGGTGGCGCACACCTGTAATCCCAGCCCCGCCCCAGAGGCTGAGGCAGAAGGATCACTGCCAGTTCAAGGCCAATTTGGGCTACATAGTAAGAGTTCAAGGCCAGCTTGAACTACAAAGAGAAACCTTGTCTCAAAAAAGAAAAGTCTAATCCTATAAACACACTATGGGGTACATACTCTCATTTTCTGCACTTTGCCTGTGAAGAATCTGAGGCTCATTGAAGTTAAGTCTCTCAGGATTACACAGTTTGTCCAGTCCTAGAAGAACCTTTTCTCTCCCCACCACTCTGCTTGGCGCATCATAGGGTGCGCAAGTTCTGTGGAGCCCAGAAAGGCAGGCAGTTGGGTTTCCAGGAGGAGGAATCAGGCATCTCCCCTGGGGAGTCAGCTGCCCCAAGAGGCAGGGAACTTATTCCATGCATTGGGAATAGCACATGCAAAGGTTAGAGGTCTGAGAACTGAGACAAATGACATTTCAGAGCATTAAAAAAAAAAAAAAAAGGAGGGGGGGTCAGGATTTAGCTCTGTGGTTCCAGCGCCTGCCTCACACGTGCAAGGTCCCAAGTTCGATCCCCAGTACCAAAAAAAAAAAACACTTCGATATTTTCAATGGGAAAGAGAGTCTGATTTTGGCAAGGGGAAGACTGTGTGAAAACCCTGAAGACCCCCAGGGCCCCCTCTCAGCTGCTCTGGTAACTTGGCCAGTGGCTCTGGCATGAATCCCTCCCACAAGCCCAGCTTCCAGTGTTGGAAAAGGGCTGCACGGTTGAACACAGAGCAGGACAGGGGCCGGAGTGGAAGAGGGTAGAGTGGAGCCTCATGGCAGTGTCCATGGAGAGCTTTACAGATTTTCAGGGCGGCTCAGGTTCCTCAGGCAGCTGTGCCCATACAGCCTGTCCTTCTGAAGGCTTAGGCTGTGGGGGCCCAGGACCCACCCAGCTCTGGCCCGGGGGATGTGTTCGCTGGAGCTCAGGGAAGGGAAAAATCCTAGTGTTGCTTCTCTGGCTGGCTCTATCCCTTCCTGGTGATTTATCGCTATGGAAACTGAGCTCTCTTCCTCTCCCGCTGAGCTGCTGGGGTGCATTGTTGATGCCACAGGCACACGGGTCACAAGTTCCTTCCTCTTTCCTGATGCAGAAATTCTACAGTAACCTACGTGGCCCAGAACTGCCGCTCACACCTGAAGAGTCCAGGCTTGGGAAAAACAATTGCCTCAGATTCCCTGGGGCGCATGGGCCCTCTGGGTCAGCCGAGAGGGAGAACAATGAGTCTGAAGAACAATGTGGCCTGGAGCCGAATGTGGCCGGCTTTTCCCCTTCCTTCGGGGCCTTCCGAGGAGGGGTTTAAAAATGTATCTACAAGAAAAGGACAAATTTTTATAAAATGTATCGATAGGCAGTGGCAGGTTAGGCAGAGGCGGCAGCAAACTAAAATGCAAGGGCCCTTTGTGTCCTGCAAGGGTGGGACCCCTTCCGCTGTGTGTGCTGCCCACTTGTTCTGGGAGTTAACCCATCGCATGGAGGTGCAGGAGAGCGGTGCAGAGGAGGAGACGAGATCTTGACACAGGGAGGTGAGGACACACGCCTGAAGGGGCGTTGGTGCCTTCTGCGTTCACAGGAGGTTCAGAGGTGGTCAGAGGCCCGGTGAGAGCTGGCTCTGCTGGGGTTGAGCAGACCCATAGGCTGGGCCTGGCATCCAAATACCTGTGCCAGGTCCTGGGTCAGAGGGACACAGAGGGACCCAGAGAAGGTGATGGGAGCCCCTTGGGGGCAAGGATGTCCCAAGGCACCGCCAGGCCTAATAGTCCCCTTACTGGTCACCCCAGCCAGTCACGGCCAACCCCAGGGTCTCAGGACCCTTCTCTAGAAGTTGACCTAAGGATCCCCCTCTAGGCCACAGTCCATGGGGGACAAAGAAACTCCCCATTGAATGATTTCACTAGAAGAGTTTGTGGATGAAATTGGCCTTGACTTCACTCCTCACTCAGGGAAACATTCTGTCTAGGAGCTGGACATTTCAGTGGCTCTAGAACAGTTCTTTGTCTTGGACACCTGTGATCTTTCTTAGGTGCAGAAAGGTTCTGTTTGCTCTGCAGTTAGGATTCCCTTTGATTTAGAGCATGTGTGCTCCCTCTCAGCCTCTCACACATTCTAAGTAGCAGCCGGAACTCCTGGATCCCAGAGAAATTCCAGCCTTGGGACGAATGTGCTGATAGAATAAAGCCTGCGGAACAGCTCACCTGACTGTTTCCTCAAAGGTCTCAAAGGTTCAGAGGCTTTGTCCCTGCTCAGGGCACCAGTGGAAGGAGGGGGCTCCTGTGCACTGTTGCGCTGCCACGAGGACTTGGGAGAAATGTGATCCCCCAACATTGCTTCAAGATTCATCCCATTGCACTAGTATCCTTCAGGAACAGGAAACTGCACCCTTTATTATTTTTTTTTCCAAGTCTTTCTTTTTTTATTGGTACATTTTAGATATCCATAATGATCATACTCATCATCGGGAATTTGCACCTGTACATGATATATCTTGGTTCTTCTTTTTTCCCATTCCCCTCTCCTCCCTTCCACCCCTCCACCCCTCCTTATTTATAGAAGGTTTGTTTTCATTTTTTCTTCTTGTCTCTTCTTCCCACCCCCACCCCCCGCCCTTATTCTCCTTTCCATTTGAACATCTTCTTCCCACTTCCCAATATCTATTATATTTTGGTCCTTATTTACACTTTCAGTTTCTCACATCAGAGAAACAATGTGGTATTTAAACGTGTGTGTCCAATTTATCTCACTTAGGAGTATGGTCTCAGGGTGCATTCATTTAGCTAGAAATCTCTCAAGCTTATCCTTTTTATGGCAGAATAGTACTCCGTTGTATAAAAAAGCCCCACATCTTCTTTATCCATTGATCAGTTGATGGACATTTGGACTGTTTCCAAGATTTAGCTATTACAAACTGTGGCACCCTTTAAAAAAATAGATGTTTTTCAATCCTCAACGTTGTAAAAAAAAAGATATTTTTAATTGAGGTAATATATATTAAATATGCATTTGTGGTAAACAACACAGAAATGTGTACTTTGACCTATCCCCTAGTGGTAACATTCTGCAAAACTACAGTATAATATCATAACCAGGATACCGATATTGTTAGAATCCACAGATCCGCCCAAATTTCCCTGGTGTTACTTGTACTCACTTGTGTCTGAGTGTGGGTGATGTTCCATCCAGCCTCATCACCCGGGCAGTTTCCCGTATCCAGGACCACAGGCAAGGGGACACTGGACAGTTCCAACACCAGGGGAAGCCCTCTTGCCCTTGTGTCATTGCCTCCACTTCTTTCCCACAGCCCACCGCCCCAGCCTCTGGACAAACATCCCCTAACAAGTCAAGTCTTCCTTACCTGAAATACTTGGGACCAGAGATATTTTGGACTTTTCCATATTTTTGGAAGATTTGCACATATATAGATGAGACATCTTCGAGACTGGAACACAAGTCTACACATAAAATTTACTTATTTCACTCATGCCTTGTTAAGCATAGCTTAAATGTAATTTTGAACAATATTTTAAATAATTTTGTGCATAAAATGAAGTTTCCTGGTGTGGAATTTTCCACTGTGGCACCATGTTTGTACTCAAAAGTTTCTGATTTGTGGGCATTTCAGATTTTGGAGTTTTGGATTACAGATGCTGAACTAGTAATCTGTCCTCCATTTAAAATTTTTTATTCTCTCAAACATGTTTTATAGATAGAATCATATTTGGAGTGACTGGCTTCTTTAACTCGGTAGAATTTCTGGACATTCATCCAAGTTGTGTGTACCTATAGTTGTTCCTTTTCATGACTGAGTAATATTCCATGGTATGGATGTGATGGCATTTATCCAACTGTTCATCTACTCAAGGACAGGTAGGCTGATTCTAGATTATTAGAAAATTGGAATTGCACGTACAACTGCTGTGAAGATTCATGTACAGGGTTTGGTGAGTATATGTTTATTTCTCTGGGCAACTGGTCCATTTTTAAATGCCTCCAATTAAAGCAGGTCCTTGGCATTTGGGAGGGGTACATGTCAAGACCCAGCTAAGTTGCCACATTCTCACTCAGTACTAGCAATGTTTGTACAGGCTCCTGGCTTCGTCCTAAATCATATGAATCTCATTTGTGCCCTGAGCACTATTTCCTGTGCATATTCTCCTGTCCCAACTTGGCCACCTTTTTATTCTTAGGTTCTATTTATTTCAATTCTGTTTACTCAGGTCATGTAGCTGCGAAGAAACAGAATGCATTAAGACAGTTGTATGGAACAAAGTGAAGGATTACATCCTAGAATAACCTTGGTGAATAAATGTTTCATGCTCCGCACATTTTGACTTTTTCACAATTTGGCCCCTCTGTCTTTTTTCTAGGCCAAAGATTTTTATATTCCTGGGCATTTCAAGAAGTCCTGAAATATTTTTCCTCTACAGGCACTATGTCAGGAAATTAGGGTCAGGACCACAGTCAGGCACCCAGTGTTCCTACTGACTCCACCCCTCCTAGGGGCTGAGAGCGCTCGAGCAGGTG